CGGGGATTCCCGACCCTTTGCGCCCGAGGGAGCTAAGGGGGAAACGGGGCTATTTATAATGGGACAAGCAAGACAGCAGCAGGGGGGCGACTTACCGCAGTGGCGCGAGCCTGACGAACGGGCGGACCAGGGGCGGGGAAAAGGGAGAGGGGAGGGAGAGGAGACGACGGCAAGGCCGGGTCGCTAAGGGGGCTTCATACACGAGGGGGAATTAACCCCATCACCAGCCCCCCAACAGCGGCTCCGGTTCCTCCTGCTGCTGCCGCCGCCGCCGCCGCCGCTGCCGCGGGTGCCATAGAGAACGGCCCTCTACGGGCACCGTCAGCCAATCGCAACCTCCCGTGCCGTTGACTGACATCCCTTCCAACCCATGAGGATTTAACGCACTCTTTTCCACCACCACCGCCGCCGCCACCACCCCGCTCCTCCTCCCCCGGACCCAACCACTGAGTGGTCCAATATTCGGCCCACGCAGAAAAACGCCCCGGCGTGGGATCGCTAGCCAATCAGAATCCGCGCCAGAGCTGAGCGACGGTAAGGAAAGACCAATGGCAATGCCGGGTGAGACTTGAAAGACCGGCAAGCGCTTACCCTCACCTATTTACGTCCCTATGACTGAGAGTATGACGGCTAGAGCTGGCATGTGAGCGTCGCTGTTGGGAGGCTGTTTGCCCTGTTTCGGAGTGGCTTCGCTTCTCTTTTAGCTCTTCTTCAGTGGACGCTTTGAGCTGTCCCGTGATCGATCTCTTCAGAGAACCTCTGAATTTATATCCTCAGAAAATGGAACGCTGGACTACAAATCCCAGACGCCCCTGACCGTGGGCAAGCGATGCGAGGGATGTTGGGGCATGTAGTTGTTTAAATTTTTTATTTATACTCTGCCTTTCTCCTAAAAATGACCCAAGGCACCTTACAGTAAAAAAAAAACTATTAAAACTGAACCATTCTATTGGTATATTATATACTGTGTTGGCATGGTTAAGATGTTCCTCCCGCAACCACTGCAACATCCTTAGGTAGCAGCACCCAACTAACCATCTGTGGCTTTTTTTGCCTTGTTATACACATTTTCTCCTAAAAGGCCATGTTTCTGTTGAATTCAGTGGGACTTGTTTTTTTTAAACACATATTGTGCATTCTTCCAGCTTTGCTGCAAACCGGATTTTTATTATTCACAGTGAGTGATGCCATGACGATGGAGGCTCATCTCCCACCGACACACATTATAATGAAGAGGAAACCTAACACAGCAGTTCTGTCTCGCTAGATTTTGCAGGAGTGCTACTATCTATTAAGACCTTTGTATCCAGAATGGAAAGTTTCTTGAGTGCATTGCTACTCACACCTGCAAACAAGAATTAAATCTGTCATTTCATCTTGATGATGTAGTTGAAATGGGGAGAGGCAGAATTCTCAGTCATTTTCTTTGCAACCTCTACACTGTGGTTGAAAGCTAGTGTGTGCAATGGATAGAGTGTGGAACTAGAACTCAGGAAACTAGGGTTCTTCAAACCCCTGCTTGGCCAGCGAAACTCAGGGTGTGTTTGTGCTGGCAATGGTAACCACTCCTTGGACATTCCATATACCACAGAGAGCTCTTAGAGTGACTGTACAGCAAATGGGAATACATTTGATGGCATATAAGATTAGGGTTAGAATTCACTCCTATAGATATGCCATTTGGGCTACTAATCAACAGATAAACATACAAGTGTTCTGCTTAAACTTTGAAGTATTTTAAGGAGCAACTAATTTACTCTATTCTATCCACTTCTGTTAATAAAAAAATAATCCCCACTAGGCTCCTTCGAGATGCTGGACAATAAGCCCCACCAACTTTTAGCCGGCACAGCGATGAGGAATCGCGGGAGTCGTGTTTCATTGCCTCCTACTGTAAACTCCCTTTGGGAGATGCATGAGTGATCCCGTCCCTCCCATCTATTCCTGAGTGGGCGTCTCCATGTGGGTTCATCAGCAAATGTCCTAGCTACTGTTGCTGCTGCACGACCACCCTCGGAGCATATATAGATATTGCTCCTTTCTGTCGCAGCTTCCGTTTGCATTGCTTCCTCTAAAGTCACCCCGTGAATGGGGCGAGGGAGGGAGTAAGAAAGACGTTTCCACGAGAGACGGTGCATCCACGTTTGCGCAAATCTCTCTCTCTCCCCCCTAGGTTCCAATTGCCGGGAAGGGTTTCCCGCGCATTTTCTGGCACAGTAAATCTCACACGATCCGGAATGTGCCTTTGACGGGACCAACAATTGACCCCGTCTAAACGCTCCTTAGACCCACCACATTAGAAGAAGGGGGGGAAAAACGCAATTATACGGACAGTCATTTGTTAAGTATCCACGTCCGCCTAGCCAGGTTCACTTCCGCCCTATTTGAGCGCCAAAAGTCGGGGGGAGGTTAGTGGCCGAGGAGGAGGAGCTGCTGGTCCCGTTGTTGCTGAGATCCGTGGGAAAAGGGCGACATTCGGAGCCCGGGAGGTGCTGTTGGGCGGGTAAACGGGGTTCAATCGAAGGTTCAAAAGGGAGGCTTTCTTCTTAAAGCACTGCTGAATAGTAACAACCGACGTCCTTTCTCGAGTTTTTGAAGTTCCCTTCGGTTGCAGTCCTGCGCCCGTGTACCTGCGGGTAAGATCCCGTGAACCAAGTGGGGCTCCCTTCTGAGTACGTACACGCGTCTAGGATTGTATGTACCGTTCAGTCCGCGGAACGGTTCGTCTTCTACTCTTTTTCACCTGAGCATTTCCCCAGTAAAAGGGCAGCTTGAAAGGTAGATTTCTCTTTACGGGTGTTCGAAAAGGGGATTTGGTGCGTGGTGCAGTTAGGTAGGTCCGTGTTGTTGTTATTCATGGGGTGGCCACCGTGCTTCCAGGTTGTGGTGGCGACCCCATGTCTGAATTGGCGACCTTCCAAAAGTCAGCTCTGCTCAGCTCTTGTAAAAGGCGACCCCATGTCTGAATTGGCGACCTTCAAAAAGTCAGCCCTGCTCAGCTCTTGTAAACTCAGGGCCATGGCCTGATCGAATCAATACATCTGTTATTTGGGTCTTCATCTTTTCCTGTTGCTTCCAACCACGAAAGTCTTCTAATAATGTCTTCTAATAATGTGTTCGAACTACAGTAGCCTGTAGTTTTGGTCTGTGCAATACTGTTTGAAACATGACCTTTCTATGTAAGGTAGGACTAGA